CCAGGAATAAGAGACTCAAAAATTTATTCTAAATTGGATTTCTATTGCAGAATTTACTTTCATTATTTTTAAAATCAGTCCTTAGGGCCTGGGGAGATGGATCCATGGTTAAAAGCACTGGCTGTTCTTCCAGAGGACCCATATTTGATTCCCAGCTCTCACAAGGTGGCTTACAACCATCTATGGCTCTAGTCCCAAGGGATCTGATGCTTTCTTCTGGCTTTGCAGGCACCAAGCATGGACATGGTGCACAGATGTATTTGCAGGGAAGACACCCATATATATACAATAAAAATTTTTAAACAAAAATCTTTAAATAAATAAATAAATAAAATCAACGCATCATATAATGGGCATTGTAGAAATGTTCCATCTTACTGGATTGTTGTATATACAGTTATATTGTTTTTGTTTTCAAAGAGTTTCACTTGAAGCATTTTTGATCAGCTCATTAGTGAAATCGACCCAGTCAGTAATTTCGGTGTTAATTAGTTTTCTGTCTTTATTTTGGAACTGAGTCTTGCTATATAGCCCAGACCAGCTTTGAGTGAGAGATCCTTCGGTCTTAACCTTCTGAGTGCTAAAATGTATAGTGTGTGCTATCAGAGAAGGTTAATCTGAAAATATCTAAACATCTGGATTTTGTTATTCTTTGGAATTTTAAAAAATGATTTTATAAGCCTGCAGCCATAAGCTTGTTCCTCTCTGTATGCATTCATTCAGTAATACTCATGCCTGGTCCCGGTCCTTTGCTGTTCAGAGAGCATCAGTGTCGTCTTCCAAGAGTATTTAGAGGATGAGGGTGCAGCTTGGACAAAGACTTCTGCAGGTTTCAGGCCAGCCTGGCTTAAATTATAAGACCTTGTCTTGAAAAAAAAAGTGCAGCCAGGTGTATATAGTCCCAGGAACAATCAGGAAAATTGAAAAAATTGAGATTCAAGAGCAGCTTAGTCTATGTTGCACAAGATCTGTCTCCAAAAAATCAACCTCTTGAGACAAGGAGATGGTTCAGTAGATAAAGTGTTCGTCACCGAGCAGGTCTGAGGACTAGGGTTTGGATCCCCAGAACCCAAGTCAATGCCAGGTGGATGTGGCGGCCTGCCAGAAATTCCATCACTTGGAAGATGGAGACAGAGTGTCCCCAGAGCAAGCTAGCTGGCCAGATTAGTCTCTATAGGCGAGCTCTGGGTTGAGTTGAGAGCTCTTGCTTTAATGAATAAGGTAGGAAGCAGTCAAGGAAGACTCCTGCTAGCTTCAAACTCTATAAGTACATGCACATATGTGCAAACTGTACTGACACACACATGCCCTACACACATTTGAACACACAAACATGAACACCACACTGACACACATACAAAGAAAGAAATAAGCAAAGCAAAAAAACCAACCTCTCTTTCCCAATGGAGGATTGACACGTTGATCATTGTTATTAGAGAAGAGAGAGAAAACAGAGTAATGGTAAAATTTTAGGATATATTTGTGCATTTTATTATGTTTGCACATTTATTTATTATTTGCTCTGTGTAAGTTACTGGGGGTTTACACACATGATGCTTGTGTGGAGATCAGAGGACAACCTTCTGGAACTGTGTTTCTCTTTTTGTCACGTGGGGCCTGGGGGTTGCACTCAGGTGGGTAGTCAGGCATGGTTGCAAATGCCTTTACCTGCTGAGCCATCTTGCTGGCCCTATGTATTTTTTATGGGACTAAGTTGACTTAAGTCAGTCTCCTCTGTGATTGGATAACTTAAAAACAATCTTGGGTTGGTGTGTCCTACCAAGCCTGAGGACCTGAATTTTATGTCTGGGATCGACATGGTGGGAGAAGAGAGCTGATTCCTGCAAGGTGTCTTCTGACTTTCATGCACATGCTTGGTACATGTACACACACACACATACACACACACACACACACACACACACACACACACACACACACACTAAAAATACAATTTAAAGTAAGATCTTTGTTCTAGGTATACTTGAGTGCAGATGTGTGCCTAAGCTTGATCCAAAACATTAAATACTGTACATGTAAATGAAGTCTAATTATTTTGTATTGACTACTTTTATATAATGTAGTATTCCTGAAGTATTTCCTAATTTCTTATTTATCAAACACAAATAAGTTAATTTCTTCTTACTACTAGAAGATGATTGGTTTGTTTTGTTTTGAGACCGGGTCTTACTATGTAGACCAGGCTGGCCCAGAATTCAGAGATCTCTCTGTCTCTGCCTCTGAGTGCTGGGATTAAAGGTGTGCACCACCACACCCTCTTGTAGAAAGATGATTGTATTTAATCTGTGAAGTTTCCAGTTTTCACTTATTTTTTTAAAAAGATCTCTTCAAGTGTAGTGTGTATTCATAGGTATCCCTTAAAATTTTATTTAGAATTTCAGAAAAGAAACTTTGTAATATTTCACATTACTTAACAAAAACAACTTATGGTTTCTTCACTATCTTTCCCTTGATAACGTGTTACTAGACCTTTTCCTTAAGCGCAGTTTATTGTGGGGGAAGTTATAAACAAAAGTATGGGTAATAAAAAAAGTCATTTCGTAATTTTTCATGTATGAACTTTTATTGGGAAAGTTTAAAAATATTACATTTTCACAATTGTTTTTGAGTATGTGTGTGAATGTGTGCTGCATGTGTACAGGTGCTCAGGGAGTTCAGAAGACGATGTGAGATCTTCAGGAGCTGGAGTTACAGGCAGCTGTGAGGATGTGAGATCTTCAGGAGCTGGAGTTACAGGCAGCTGTGAGCTGCCTGATGTGGGTGCTGGGAGCTGAACTCAGGTCCTCTGGAAGAGCAGCATGTGCTCTTAACCACTGAGCCATCTCCCCAGCCCCAGTATTATTATTCTTAAAAAGACTCATTTGTTCTATGTGTATGATTGTTTTGCTTGCATGTATGTCTGTGCATGCTTGGTGCTTGTGGAGGCCAGAACACATGCTGAATTGCCTGGAACTGGAGTTACTGATGGTTGTGAGCTGCCATGTGGATGCTGGGAACCAAACCCCAATCCTCTGGAAGAGTACCGTGTGCTCTTGACCACTGAACCATCTCTCTCCGGCCCCCATTATTATTATTTGTGTGTATGTGTTGCTTTGTGCTTATGAATATAGTACCCTCAGATGTCAGAGAAGGGCCAGATCCCTAGAGGTGGAGTTGCAGGTGCTATGAGCCACCAGATGTGGGTGCTAGGAACCAAATTTAGACCTTCTGGGAGAGCAGTACATGCTCATAACCACCAAGCCATCTATCTCTACAGCCCCTTTATCAGAAAGGCTTATTTTACAAGAGGGTGTTTTTCTTTGTGTGTGTGTGTGTGTGTGTGTGTGTGTGTGTGTGTGTGTGTGTGTATGTGTGTGTGTGTGTGTGTTCTCTTCTCCTGCACAGTTGTTGGAGTGAGGCCGCACCCCGTCGTGGTGCGCTGGTGCCTGCACTCTTTCTGTGGCTTTGGTCCTGGGGACTGGATGCCGGGCCACACTTGTGCTGAGCAAGGGTCCTGCAGCTGAGCTCCATCTTCAACCCCATAATGACTGTTTCTGAAAACTAATAACACCGGTCCAGGCAGAAACCCCTAGCAAAAGCACAGCAGCAAAATGCAAGACTTCATTTGATTATAAGGTTGGAAGGATGAGAAGAGAATACAGAAGTAAATTAATCATTCTAGAAAAAATTATATTACATCTCAAGAAGTAAAAAGGAAATACATCTGATATAGTCTGCCAAAAGTGATTGTTTTCTGAAACGCACTGAGAAGACTCTTCTGTCCTTGATTCTTGACTACTGATTTCTACGCAGTTCCCTCAAGTCCTGGGAGGGGTTATATTACTCCACGCTGTAAAAAAACAGCAAGAAAAAATAGGCTTGTGCACCTAATACTTTTATGATTTAGAATGCATGCCAGATGTTTTACAATGTTTTTGTAGTGACATTCTTGAAATATTACAATCAGAACTTTTAAAATAGATTATAGAAAACCTTGAAGTAAAATGTCTTTCCTATAGACTATTTTCTACATTATTACTTAAAAGCAATCATTTGAATTAAAGTGTGTTTTTTTGTTTTTTGTTTTTTGGCAGTTCTTGGGCTATTTAATATACTGTTTTATTGTGTTTCTAGAGTATACTTGAAAAACTCTATCTGTATCTTTCATTATACATACTATAATTGTGTCAAGAAAAGTACCTTTGCCGGGCGGTGGTAGTTCACCCCTTTAATCCCAGCACTTGGGAGGCAGAGGCAGGTGGATTTCTGTGAGTTCGAGACCAGCCTGGTCTACAGAGTGAGTTTCAGAACAGGCTCCAAAGCTACACAGAGAAATCCTCACTCAACCTCCCACCCTCCCCCCAAAAAAAGAAGAAAAAGAAAAGCACTTTTAGTAATTTCAGATAAAAATACATTTTCCCCCTTTGGCCCTAAAGATGACAGTGATAGTTCCCTAAAGATAAGGCACTGAATCACAAGCATAGACAGATTTTAGCATACATCGTATCTTAAATCAACTTTAAAAGTTTTGTGTCTGTGGATTTTAATGCAGCGTTTCCTTTAAGGCAGGGGGTATCAACCTTCCTAATGTTGAGACCCTTTAATACAGCTCCTCATGTTGTCGGGACCCCCAACCATAAAATTATTTTCATTGCTACTTGACTGTAATTTTGCTTCTGTTATGAGTTGTAATGTAAATATCTGATATATGAAAGACATGTTCGACCCCAAGGGGCTGCAACCCACAGGTTGAGAACCACTACTCTAAGGCATCAATACCTTCCTTAATGGAATTAGTGTGTTCCAAAGAGACATTTATCTCACTATTAGCTTCGCTGCAAAATATTTAAATTCCAAGAAATAAAACTATCAATGCTCCCCAAATACATTCTTTAAAATCACCTTAGTATCTTAGTATATAATGTGTGCCCAATTTAAAAGTTCTGTTGGTTTTCGTTTTGGTAATAAATCAGTTTCCCCCCTCTTCTTTTTTTATCTAGTGGTCATATGCTTTAGAAAAACCCAACACCGGCAGCATATTTAATATCGCGTGGTCCATTGACGGCACTCAGATCGCTGGGGCCTGTGGGAACGGCCATGTGGTCTTTGCGCACGTGGTGGAGCAGCGCTGGGAGTGGAGGAACTTCCAGGTAACACTGACGAAGAGGAGGACCATGCAGGTAGGACCGCGTTCCGGAGCTGACTGAACCTGCTTCTCCCCTAGACAGAGCGGAGGATCGTCTTTGTCGGGCACGTTGGCTGGGTGTTTGTCGGGCACATTGGCTGGGTGTTTGTCGGGCACGGTGGCTGGGTGTTTGTCGGGCACGGTGGCTGGGTGTTTGTCGGGCACGGTGGCTGGGTGTTTGTCGGGCACG